ATTAATATCTACTCTGTATGTAATGAAAATAAGAACTAAACTTCAATTGGATTAAGACATTGAGGTGATCTGCTTTAACAGCTAGTGTGATCTTAATAAAGAAAGCAGATGAACTTGAGGAACATGCAAATATGTACCTAAAACCTAATTGGGAAATAATAGCTTCCTTCAAATTTTTATCATACATATAAATTGAAGCAGAGTCAATACCTCTAGTTCTATATCAGGGTGGGGAACGTCCAGCCCACAGGCTGTATAAGGCCCATGAAATCATTTGGTCTGGCCCTGCCAAGGCATTAGGAGTTAATTAAATGTTTGATCACATACAGCAGACTAATTTTTAAGGTGATAAGTTTGTATGGCCCACAAATGATGTTATAATCACCTAAATGGCACCTGGTAGAAAAAAAGGTTCCCCATCTCTGGTCTATACAGTCTAGAAAATCTATCAGATAAACCACAGCAAGAGATTCTAGATTCTCATTTCCCCGAAGTCCCTTCTTCCTGCCCATGCCTCAGAGATCACTCATAAATTGACATTTTTATGTATCTTTCCTTCTGCCGCTACCCCGCACACAAAAATTCTTATTTCAAAGGCCAGTTCACACACACTCTCTAAGAAGGGCATTAACAGGCCATACTCAGTTACTTACTACCCGCCAAGTCTTCATCCCATCTGAGGTTGAGCTCCTGTACATGGATGTTGTCACACAGCTACTACGAACCATTGCATACTTTCCCAGATCTTAGAACCTATTCATGCCAGAAAGATCTTTCAAATAATCAACAGGGTTGGGGATGGGGGCAGACTGGGAGAGGTCAATGAGGGGAAAAGGAGACATATGTAAGACTTTCAACAACCAAGATTAAATAAATAATCAACAGGGATTGTTTTGTTGAGACAATTAACAAAACAAAATACGCATTCAAATGAGACATGTATCAAACCTATTTAGAAATAATTAAAATTACAGATTAGGTTTTCTTTCACTGATCAAAAATTATGGTAATGCCTTTGTGTTGCTCATTTCCTGGTTCACTTTGGTGTGTTTATTCAAACATGGTAGCGTCAGATCACGGGGAGTATCTTATTTTCATTTTCTGTACTCGCACTAATAGCTTAACACAAAAATTCACCAGAGAAGTTAGTGTGAATGCTGTGATATGCCTCTGGATTTGTCTGGACTCTGGTAAGGCAGTCAAGCTTTTGCTGTACTGCACCGCTGTCACTGTCCAGAGGTCGCCAGGGGACAGAAACTGCTCAGCACTTACAACTGCAAGTTGCATGGGGCAAAGAGACTCCAGTAGCATGAAGGCCGCCACCCTAGAGAGCCACAGCTAATCAGAAACGAAAGCACACAGAAGGTAAGGCTAGAGTGCCCAGTAAAAGGGATTTCCCCTGTGGTGGTTGATAACTTGCTCAGAAGCCTCTTTTTTCCTCAATCGGAATATTATTGCATAAGCCATCAGCCACACGTGTTGACTTACGTCCTTGAAGAAAATGCGATGATGACCTCACAAGTCTCTCATTGTCTGTGGATAAAGTTACTGCATTCAAAACCCACTTTGCTAAGCCAAAAAAACCTAGTCTAGTACAGTGCTTTGTGTACTTTATGGGCAAATATTATTGTCTAAAACAGAACTAAATATGTTAATAGATGTAATATATTTTAGTATTCTTTAAAATAAGAGGAAACAGAAATTTTTCAACTTTTTATTGTCCTTAAAATGATTGTTCACATTGTTTCACAAGCAGGGAAAGCAAATACAATGACCATTTAGATAGAAAATGCATCATCCAAGAATATCATTCTTTAACCAGTGGGGCACAGCCACTGCCGATGAGAATGTTATTGTATGATATAATCATATATCCTTCTATAATTTAATATGCAACTGAGACATTATGCTAAAAATATCAAGGATGAAGCCTATCAAATACTGAGATTATAGATATACAATAAAATAAGGGTATTTAGAGATGGGTATTCTAAGGGATGAAGGCTAATGCCAAGGTCAGCAGCCAAACACAAAAGCTCAGCCTTTTCTGACTCTGGAATACTTGACAAGTGATTTCAAACTTTTCTACTTCTCCGGCATGAGCATAACCTGTATGGCAAGCCATAGCTCCTACTTGCTTCTTAGCAATGTTCCAGGGCTAAATCAGATAAAAATTTATGTGCTATGCTTTGAGCTCCATTGAGGAAAGGCACTGAATAAACTTCAGGATAATTTATAAATCCTGAGCTTGCATTAATCATGTCCAAATCTATCTCATAAAAGGAAAAAAATGGAAATAAAAGGCCAATGCTGTGTGGTTGGTGAAAAGCTCAAGAAACTTTGGGCAATGGTGGTAAGCCCAAACAATACCATTTTATATACATGAAATCCTTGACTAATCCAGATTTTCATTAAAAAACAAACAAACAAACAAAAAACTAACTCCTTCTAATGTCCAGAAATAGTTCACTGGTAGAACATCTGGTATATGAATCAGTGAAGTGTGTTATGGCAGTCCTAGTCTGAGATCCAATATCTAATTTCCTTTTAATTTACCATAATTATTTTTATAAAACTTTATGACTTTCCTTCAGTGGATGTGCTTAGTGAGGATTGCCAAAATACTACCTTCTCTTCAGAATCACATTTTTAGGCCAGCTTCTCCCAACTTGTTTTCTTCCCTTCCAATTGCATTTTACCCTCACCCCTTAGCCTCTGTCGACTTCTTTTAGCAATCTGTATTGAATAGAAGGGACAACCAGAGTGTAATCTGAAAATTTAAACGCAAGCGGGTATTTAGAAATACAATCCTACTAGTACATTGTTCTAGCTAGTAGTCATAACTTGGTACTAATGCTTTGGTTTCGTTTTATTGTAATAATGGCCATCCTTTCTACAACTTTCAGTGCAACTGAGTTATATCAAGTAGAGTTAATGAGAACAAGGCAGGCTCATATTTAGAAACTATGAGGCTCCCAAGTGGTCACCAATCAGCTTTTCTAAACCAACAAGTGACCGAACAATTCCCATTTTCAAAGTCAAAATTATATGCTTTCATCAAACACTGCCTCTGATTTGCAGGAATGTGTTTATTTGGAGTTTAAAAAGACAAATGTCGAAGGGAAATGCTTTTTCCTAAAAGCATAACAACCCTCAGCTGATTTTAAATGTCCAAGAACAGGAATAAAACAAGGAGTATGTTGTTATGTCTAAAACACATCAGAATGACTCTTCTAGAGAAAAGGGACATATGTTTCCATCACCCCTAACCTACGAGTGCTTGTTTTTAAAATTACAAACTAATGTCATAGTAAGCCATAGTTAAGAGGCGGAAAAGGTAGCTGCCCTTCAGAAGTTTATCCATTCGGAGAGGAGGAAGTCAAGGGGAAAATCACTCTCCTCTGACTAACACAGTATAATTATTTTCCTCATGATGGTGCCCCTGCATTTTTCTCCCTTTAGAAGTTCCCATGGTTACAAAAGGACATGCCACACACACACATATATTTTTTAAAAGGATGACAAATCACAAGGTTGCAAAATGGCCTCCTATAGTCAGTCTGAATTTGTCATTTTGCTTTAGAGCTTTTCCCATTGGCCCAAATAATCCAGAATCACATATACAATGAATAAATGTAAGCAGAGGGATGGCTATTTTAAGAAACCGGAAATGCCAAGTAAACACTTGAAGGCCATTATGATTTTATCCTGTACACAAACACACACACACACACACACACACACACACACACACACACACACAGATAAGAGAGAGTTCACTTGAAAGGATAAAGTTCTGAAAATCAAAACGGTACGGCTCTTCCTTACAGACTCTTTAGAAGAAGACTTGAAGCATAAAAATGTTTATTTGAACTATGCAAAGAATTTTACATTTAATCAATAGATTTGAAAATGATTTCAATCAAGAAATGTTTCAAAAAGGTTTTTTAAGTGAGAGCCAAATTAACTGAGCCCAAACGAAAGGGTACTTCGCGCCCTCCTCAGTGTAGTGTTTGGCCCTTTGCACTAAAATGGAATGAAAGCTATCTGTTCCCGATGGGAAATTCAAACAGCACTAATTTGGTGCCTACTAGTTTTAGAAACAGGAGGATGTACATAGAGGAGGATAACAAGACAAACAACAATTGGACTAAAGAAAAGTATCTGACAGACAGACATTATCACTGAGGCTTGAGCAGACTACATCAAATTTTGGAGATTTCATCTCCTAGTGTCCCTGTTATGTAAGAGTTTTGACTTCTTCTGGGACTTAAGGATGTATCCTTTTTCCCTACTTGATAAACTCAAGTCCTTTACCAAGTAGCCTTTCTCCCAGCCTTGTTCATGCCGACTTGAACAGAGCAATCGGCTATATCAGATACAAGCTGTGAGGCCATTTTCATCCCAATAGATTCCAAAGCTAAATCAAGAATGTCATCAAAAATTATAATATGAAGATAAAACATATTTATAATGTAACTACCTAAGATTTAATAAATGCTGGGTAATGACAATACATAAAATCTAGTAACGCATTTCACAGAGCAGGAAAACCGCCCAGATATCCAAGAACATGTCATCATTTAGGGTTAAAAGTTTAAAAGACAGAATTTTTTTTTTCTGGATACATTCTACTTAGGCCCCTGCAAAGCTGTAGACTACAATGCTATGTACCACTTAGCTGTGGCTGACACACTAAAATGGACAATTGCAACAGTTCAGCAGATAGCGTTTTAACAAAAGTTAAGTATCCTAGAGATTTTTGTTGGTTTGGTTCTCTGAAGAAACATGTTTGGTTCACTTCTTGTATTCCATTTTTTAAAGCCTTACGACTTTGAAAAGATACTGTTTAGATCCAAGCAATACCCAAATAATGAAGATGCATGAAAAATAAAGGTCCTCAGGGGAATATAGGCCTAACATAATAGGATGTCCATGCTTAGTGCAGCCTCTGCTGGCGCTGTACAGCTCTCTCAGGATGACGTACACCAGCAGTCCAGTTACCAGAGTCGGCAGGAATCCGTGCCTCTATTCATCGTGGAATTGGATGGACAGTTAAAAGCTTTCTGGAATTCTTCAAAGTTGCTAATAGCACCATTGACCCTAAAAAAAAGATATTTAATGTTATTTAATTATTATATATTAACAGGCTCTAATTAAAAGTGTAGCAGCATATTGTTAGAAGGGACATTGCAGTAACTTGATCTCTGTACAGGGCAGATAACTGAAGCCCCAAATGTTTAAGTGAACTTCCAAAAAAAATTTAGCAGAGCTGAGGCTAGAACCAGCACCTCCTCAATACCAGGCAAACAATCCTGTTCATCTTCCAAATATTTTCAAATCCCTATAAACTGTAGGATTTACAGTTGCAATATAATGAGTATAAGATTGTATAATCCTAAACTTTTACAAATGCCTATAAACTGTAGAATTTATCGACACTTAGCTTCCGTATTTTTTTTATCTTTGGGGGGAAGGTATAACTGATATAAAGCGCACATGTCTTAAATGTAAAATGTGTACAACATACTCATGTTACTATCACTCAGATCAAAACATGAGATATTTCTAGCACCTCGACAGCTCTCTAGTGTGCCCTCCCAGTATCACCTCCAAGGATAGCGACTAGTCTGACTTCTATAGCCATAGATTAGTTTTACCTGTTTTTGAAATTCATATGAATGGAACCACACAGTAGGCACTCTTTTGTCACTGATTTCTTTTATTCAATATTTATGTCCGTAAGATTCAACCATGTTGTTGCTATCACTATCTTTAAAGAACCCGTTCATTCTATACAAAAACTTTCTCTAAATTCCTATTATGTTCGAAGGTTCATATGTATCTAGAATCTGCTTCATGTAACAACAGACCAATGAATGGTACTATCTAAGAGTTCTTAGTAAGTAATTTTACTGGCATTAACTTCAAAATCTGGGGTTCTTGCAAGTTCCCCCAACTGCAATAAAGGCTGCAGATTCCTACTTTGCACCCTGGTTGTAACTGCCTTGTGTAAGTGGTATTTCCATTGTGTGATTTACACCGTACTCAAAATATACACTTATTGCAAGTATCACTAATAAGCCAGCAGAAAACTCCCTCTTTGTTTATTTCTGACTCAACTGCATGTTCAAAAGGCTGACTTGAAGATTCAGCATTCTCAGTCACTGACCATTTCTTCCCTAATGACTTCTTTACCTATGAGCATCTGAATGAACATAATGGCCAATATCCAAAAAGCATCCCCATAATCTCCTGTGTTTTAGCTGAGGTGTGTAGGTAGGGATGGATATTTCATGGTGTGATTCATCCTGTGTAAGTGTTAAAGATAGAATTTAGTTGCTAATTAGTGAGTATGTTCTGCAAAATTATCAGCTAAAATCCAACATTATAGGCAACTAGTTAGTAAAAGGACATTCCTTTCTAAGTACTTATCTGTTGAGTAATTAATCTACCGCATTTGTCAGAGGGCGCACATTTTAGTCCGTTAGAGAATGTCAACATTCTTGACAGTTTAGGCTAGTAGGGAAGAATTTCTAACACAGTGATTAGATTGTATGCTATTGGGTAATTTATAGTCAATTTCTGAAGCATGTTTAAGGCAAGGTTTTAGGAATAACATTTTAAAATATAGGACAAATTTTAGATGATTTTCTTGCAATATGCTAGTGGACTCATTTAAACATTAAATATAAAAATATACAGATATAATGTTCTAAGCAAAGAATGAATATAGTTAAGGTTTCCTATATTTCCCATTGTAATTCTTGTCCCCTACTATAGAAAATTTCCCTCAAACTATTATAGACAGCCAGCACAGGCTACGTAATATTAACCTTAATTTTATTTTTACTTAATATTTTATACATTTGGCAATTAAATAAGATTATTACTCATAATCCTTTTCCCTTCATATGTAAGCAAATGTTTCAAAATAAAATTCAAACTAAAAGCCAAAATACAGAGCTTTTGACTCTAAATGTGAATTATAATAGCTTAATATAACCATATATCCTCCTTTGTTCTCAGAGCTATTCAGAAAATGGGCACTCGTTTATGTTTGCTGGTCGGCTGCATAAAGAATCAGATGCATTAAATAGTATACTCTATAACACAAAATAAACCAGAGCTCTTAATGTTTTAAGGCACAGTAAAATCACATCCTGTCTAAGAAGAGACTTTTTGGGCACAACCAGTTTCTATTTGGCCAGTATTTTTGCCTGTAAAATAGAGATATCACAATTCACAATACAGGCTTTGGTTCCAATCACCTATTTGGTAAAGTACTGAGGTGGCTACACAGGGGAGGAGGGGAGATGCACATTAAAAACTAGTGTTAAAAAAAATTAAAAAAAAAAAAAACTAGTGTCACCCATTTTCCCTTTTACCTAAACTCCGGAGGGCTGTGAGCACCAATCTGGACTTGTTCTCGGGCAGCTTCCGGTCTGTAGGAATTGCACCTGACCTAGGAGAGAAACGCATACTGGTAATTACATTTCCATTCCAATTACACATTTTCTACTGCTTTAGCTGCTCCAAATTATACTGAAGAGTAATTTTAGACTCAATGGATGACAGTTTTAGTAAATCAGATAAAACCTTAATCTGTAGTAACATCTATTATTCTAATCCCCGGAGTAGGTTTTATCATTGTAAATAATTCTACAATTTGAGTAAATTAGGAAGGTTTCCAGGCAAATGCTATAAATCAAGAGAACACTATATATGCCCAGGAATCAACCAATGTATTCATTCAATTAATATCATGCTTGGAATAGCCCTTATTAAATGTAACCATATTTGATTCGATAAAACGAATCAACCACCATTATTGAGCATAGTCATGAGAAGTCAGGTTTTTGTTTGCCCTACCTTAGTCCAGCCCTTTGATAAGAGGACACTTTTCCATCTCCTTTGAAGTTAGGCATGGTTATATCACTTGCTCTGACCAATGAACTAGGAGAAGTGATATATGTCACTTCCTAGAGAAGATTTAAAAACTGGCAGAAGTTTTAAGAGCCTTCAGAATAATTTAAGACGCTACACTAAGAACCAGGGCACATTTCCTCATATTTCTTTCCTACTCCTGTGGTGACCATGGAAGCACATGTCAAGATCGAGACTCTAAAACCCAGGTCCTTGAGTAATAACTATGAGCAGAGACCCATTAATGACCGATATTGGACACAGATCATGAACAAGAAATAAACTTCCCTTGTTTGGTTTGTCCCTGTACCATAACCTACTTAATCCTGACTTGAAGCATGTCTTGAAACATGATATAGTCTTGAAGTATGAAAAGAACTAGGGCACATGAATATGACTGGGGGCGATTTAAAGTGGAAGAGAAAAGGGAAGCAAAGACATATTTGAGAAAAAATAAAAAGAGCAAGACCCTCAGCGTGGCTGGACTGTGGTGCCTAATGGGCGGCAATGGGAGACCAGGGGTGATGGTGATGGTGATGGTGCCAGGTTTCTGAAATTCTGACCAATATCCTAAAGTGTTTAAACTATACCTAAGCATAATTATGAGCAGTAAATGATAAAATCATATTTTAGAAAGATGTATCTGTCAGGGGAATATAGAAGGAAATTAGAAACTAGTTAGATTATTTATATATGGGCCCAGGAACGTTCCCAATGAATATCCACTAAATGAGTAGAAATGGGAATGGAAAGAAGTAGAAAGATAAGAAGATCTGAAGGGGGAAATTGGCAGGTCACAGGAACTACGGGGATATAGGAAGCAGGAAAGGCGATATGATGCTATCACATTTCAAAAAGATAAACTATCAGTCTCTGTGGTTCTAAAGTTAACTTTGAAGATGTTTTTTCTAATATGATTCCTTAATTTCCTCAGAAGCTAGCTACTGTGAAGTTGTTTCTGGCACTCCATATTTCTTATATTCTTATACTAGAGGCCGAGTGCACAAATGTTGTGCATGGGGGCGGTCCCTCAGCCCAGCCTGTGCCCTCTTGCAGTCTGGGAATCCTTGGGGGATGTCCTTCTGCCAGCTTAGGCCCACTCAGCAGGCGGACCTCCCCAGAGGGGCCTTAGCACTGCCAAGACAGCTGCACTCACCAGTCATGAGCTCAGCTTCTGCATTGAGCATCTGTCCCCTGGTGGCCCTGTATATCATAGTGACCAGTCATTCTGCCGCTTGGTAGATTTGCATATTAGCCTTTTATTATATAGGATTATTGGATAGTATTGTCTTTGCTTCCTACATCATTTAAGAGAGTGCTAAAAACACATTATGGTTGTTACTATTTTCCTAGGACCTTCTTAGGAGGGAAAATAACTTTGCTCCCTATAAGCAGACATATTTCAACATGCAAAATATTTAAAATCTCCTTACTCTGTCAGTAGGAAAAGCTTCAAGATAAATTTCTCATTAGTGATATAAAATGGTTTTCCATGTTTCCTAAATCTCTTTAGTTTAAAAAAAATCAGATATGGTTTGGAATTTTATTTGAGGACATTTCAAAAGTATGACTGTTAATGTTGCTATTAGTTTACTTCATTCATCTACAAGGAGCTGTTGTGAACTAGAATGTAACTAAGATGGACCTTAAGTTAGTAAGTATGAACCTGAATAAGAACTGATGGACCTTGCAATTTAGAGTAGGGACCAGCAAACTTTTTCTGTAAAGGGAGAGATAGTAAATATTTTAGGTTTTGCTGACCATAAGATCTCTTTCAACTACTCAACTCTGCTGTTGTAGCATAAAACCAGGCATGGACAATACATAAAAGAAAGTGCATGGCTGTTTTCCAATAAAATGGCACTTATAACAATAGACAACAGGCCATATTTGGGTCCTAGTTTGCTAATCCCAGCTCTATAATGTTCTGGCTATGTGTGTGTGTGCTTATTTTAGATATATGACCCAGTACTGACCTATAACAAAGTCTCCTTCATTGAACTATATTTGTCTTATACTTATCAAGTGTCTTCAATATACCCAGGATCTTCGCTGGGTGCTATGGCGATACATAAGAAATGTAAGGATCCAGAAAATTAACTGTGAAGTTAAACTAGAAGTCTTCAATATTTTGAGAACATTTAAATATTCAACTACATGGTAATGAAGTAAGTATAACAGAATTGTAGATTCACAAAAATGAGAACTGGAATTTTTGTGGAAGTGTATGGATGGTGTGGAGGAGGTGAAACTTGACATGGATCCTGAATGATAAATATGGGATTCAATAATCTGAGGGGGAGGAATAGACAGAAGGTGACATTATAGAAAGAAAATCAAAGCCAAAGAGACAGTAGTGAGCATGGCATCATGGGGTGGAAGTGAGGCCACCTTCCTAGCAAAAGATGAGTCTTATGGAGCTGTGGGCACTAAGAGCAGTTGGGTAAGACTGAGGAGAACTTTTTAGAAAAGTAACTGAAAGTGTTTGACCTCAATGCATTAGGACTTGGGAGCCTCTGTAGTTCTTCAGCTGGTCAGTAGTGAAATGAAAGTGGTATTTCAGTGGTATGTAAGATAGACAGTGTTGGAAAGATGCCAAAGTCTGGAAAATGTGCCATAATGCTGATGGAATGATCCAGAGTAGAAAAGATCAAGGCCTAGCCTACAGATGACAAAATAGGGTAATGGGGAGAAAGAGAAGCTGAATCTGAAGAGCAGGTAAAAGAATGAAACATCTAACTTTGGAGGCGTATGTCATAAAAACAAGGATAGGTAAATCAAATGACCTAAGAATCCAGATTTTTCTAAGCAGGAAGACCCAAAGACTGGGGGTATGTTAAAAGAAATGGGAAGACTAAAAAGAAAAGTCATTTTGTTCATGATTACACTTTTGCTGATATTGGGTCGGTAAATGATAATTTATTGAGAGCTGTCATGTCCAGCTTTTAGAAATAAAAGACCCCAGACAGGTGAGAGTCATTTAACCAGAGTTAACTGAAGGAGACATGGGAATGTATGAATTTACTGAGAGAGAATACTAAGACTTAGGAACCAAAGGTTGCACTGATGAAAACTCTTGTCTAGTGTTGAGCATATAGATACACATTGGCCCACTTGAGGCCATGTCTCAGAACCTTCCACAGTTCATCTTTGAGTTTTTGAACATGAGGCCTACAGATTTGTGACATAAACCACTAAAATAGTTAATAGCAATGAATTAGCTAAAGACTGGAACTCAGAATTGTGCCTTTAGTGCATTTCTATTTCTGCTCGGAGAGCCTATTAAACTCACAAAAGAGTTACATGACTCTTCTTGACTTTATTGCTGTTTTCAGCTCTAACAGTCCATCAGATATTCATTTGACAGTTGAGAACACCAATGAATGAGTCATTAGAAATGGTTATTAATAGTATCAAATAGTAACATTGGGAAGTCAGGCTATATTACACAAATACCAAGTGAGTTACCATAGTAACCCTTGATTTAAAAAAAAAAAAAAAGCCAATAAACTTTGATTCAATCAATTAATTGTGTCTCATAGTTGGGGGACTGGGTGAAAAAGGTGAAGGGATTAAGAAAGTACAAATTGGTAGTCAAAAATAGTTCCAGGGATATAAAGTACAGCATAGGGAAGCCTATATAATGAAAGTGTAATATGCAAATTGTCCCCTCGAGCGAGAGTTCAAAGGAAAGGAGAGGGGATCAGGGCAGCGGCTATGGTGGCAGGAAAGTAGGAAAAGGGAAGGAGTACCCAGCTGGCAGCCGACAGCAGCTAGGGACCCTACCAGTGCATGCATTTCATGCACTGGGCCTCTAGTATAGTGAATAATATTGTAATAACTATATGTGGTCCAGGTGGGTACTGGAAATATCATGGACAAGGTTTTATAAAGTATGTGATTATCTAACTAATATGCTATACACCTGAAACTAACACAAAATAATACTGAATGTAAAAAATGCATCCAATTAAAATATAATCAGCTAAAACTTTGTCTCATAGAACACTTAAAAAATGAAATTTGCCCAGCTGGCATGGCTCAGTGATTGAGTGTGGACCTATGAATCAGAAGATCACAGTTCTATTCCCAGTCAGGGCATATGCCCAGGTTGCAGGCTAGATACCCAGTGTGAGGCATGCAGGAGGCAGCCGATCAATGATGCTCTCTCATTGATGTTTCTATCTCTCTCTCCCTCTCCCTTCACCTCTGAAATCAATAAAAGTATTTTTTAATGAAATTTACCCTGAAAACAAGCAGCAAGATAAAATTTCAGCTAAAATCAAAGTTATGCTATTAAATTTTTGTTCCAAACTTTTGATCAAGGAAGCAAGCCAAAGTCCCACATTTCATCTTTGATGCCCCTTGCTGGTTCTACTCACATGAGCATAACTCAGGAAGAAGAGCTGGTTATTGGTGAATGTGATACCTGGTAGCAGAGGCTCCTCAACTCCCTGCCTCTTGTCATTTATCCATTTCCTATAAGCCTGGTGAGAGAAACAAAATGAATGATCCTCTGCAATGATGGCTTTTCTCTTCCCAGCCAGTGCAGAGATAGTAAATATAGCCTCTACCATGTGCAAATTGTATTTTGTCAAGGTTTCCTTTAAGAAAACAAACCTGGAAATGCAAATCAATGTTGTATGGCTTAACAGTGAGGCAGGTTCACCTGCAAAAGACCTTACATTCAATAAATAGCAAAGCAGTAGGGCCAAAGTGCTCAATAACTACCCCTCCTGGGGGGAAATGTTCTTTCTCTTCCTACCAGGGAACAAACAAATCAAGCACAATGACAAAGCCGATGGAAATAGATTTTGGGGTCAACATACTGCCAATTTGGAAAACAATAATCTTCAATAACCATCATCTTGTAGAAATAAAATATGTTTTAATTATAATAGAGGAAGGATTTAATCTTGGAATAACACCCTGGTCTTTACATTGAATGGATTTAGCTTTATGAAAATCTTTCCATATCACCCTTATGTTTCTTGTTTAACCACAAATCAGTGGATGATGAAAACATTATTATGGATTCTTACCTGGCCCACTATATGAGAACCACTAGCCTCCGGTCATAATATGTAAGTTTGATATTTTAAGAGAAAATTATAAGGAAGGAAAACTCATATGAACCTAGCCCCCAGGAGATTTCTATAGCCTGATTTGATACTATTTTACATACATTTTATATATATATATATATATATATATATATATATATATATATATATATATATATAATGTATCTGAAAACTATCTTTTAAATACATGATTCTTAATAATAAATATTATTGTTTAGGAAGTAACTTTACACCCTAAAAAGAAATGTAGCTCTATTCATATAATAGAGTGTAACACAGTCAATGGGGCAATATATTTCTACTTACAGAAATTCACAGAATTTATAGAAATCGAACTCCTCAAGAACATGACTATGCTGTAAATTGAGATGTACCCATACAGTGTTTTAAAGCTTAATTTTAAAAATCACAGCAAATGTTGCAGTACATACCCTAAAAGCTTCCCGCAGACCTCCATTATCGGCAATATTTTCTCCCAGGGTCCTCTTCCCTTTTACCTAAGAAAAAGAAAAAGTGCTTCACAGCCAACTATCATTCAGCAAGAGGCATAAATAGATAGCAATAAAAAGTGCCATATTTTAAAAAGAAAATTACATTCAATAAGTCAGAAGTAGTCATAATATATTTTGAGATAGAAAACTAACCCCAGCAAGGTGCTCTGAATATAATAATTTCTATTTTATTATGCAACACATTTCTTTCTCGCCAACCTCTTTATTCTCACCCATTTAACCAACTCCAATAAAATGTTTAAAAAAATATTCTCAATGACTCTAGTCTAAATGGGGAAAAATAAAAATGTCAATAGACAGATTATCTGATTAACTCACATAATGTGAGTATTCTTTTCAGTGTGTTCATGTTTCCAAAAACTTACCATCACATAGGAACAAGAGTTTCAGACCAACCATCACCAGTTTACCTTCAACCATTTCCAAGAAAAATTAAAAGGAGAGTCGTTTTCATGGGGAACAAAGGTCAAGGCTTGCAATATGTATGATAACTAGCCGAGCACGGTGAAGAACTTTTTCTAAACATTTGAAGATTGTTCCTTAAACCCTTTTATAGTCCCTGACAAAAAACAATCTAAACCAATACAGCCCATGAGCCAAGGAATGTAGGCAGCCTGTAAAAGCTAGAAAAGGCAAGGAAACAGATCCTTCCCTAGAGCAGTTAGAAAATAAAGCAGTCCTAAAGAAACCTGAGACAGACATACAGAACTGTATAATGATAACGTTGTGTTATTTCAAGTCACAAAGTTTGTGGTGATTTGCTATAGTAGCAACAGGAAACAATACACCCTGTTCTAATCCTTCAAGCCATTGATCCTATCCACTCTTTATTTTCATGCTAGTTCAATCACCCAAGTACCAGGCAATACAAATAAATGAAAACATTTGTATTTGACTACATCAAACTAAAAGTCTTCAGATAACATTGATCTCTATAATCATCCAGGACCTTCCCAGCTTCAGTCTCAAAAAGTTACCACTCCAGCTTTACATATTTTCTTACACCACAAACAAAAATTAACTAAAAAATGGGTTCAAGACTTAAACACCTAAAACCCTAAAACTCCTAGAAGAAAACAGACAGTGAGAGCCCCTTAACAGTGGTCTTTTTTTTTTAATCTGACATCAAAAGCAAAAGCAAAAATGAACAAATGTGACTGTTCTTTGTTTCAGTATAAAAAAAAGCAGAGGGGCATCAGAGAAATAAAAATTAAAACTACAACAAGACATTGCCTCACACCTGTCAGAACGGCTACTATCAACAAACACGTGTAGAAGAGGATGTGGAGAAAAGGAAACCCTCATGCACAGTTAGGGAGTGCAGATTGGTGCAGCCACTGTTGAAAGCAGTATGAAGTTTCCTCAAAAAATTAAAAATGGAACGGCCTTATGACCCAGATATTCCACTCTGGGAATACATCCAAAGAAGCCCAAAACACTAATTTGGAAAAAAAATATGCACCCCTATGTTCAATGCAGCATTATTTACAATAGCTAAATTCTGAAAGCAGCCCAAGTGTCCATCGGTAGATGAGTGGATAAAAGAGTTATGGTACATTTATACAATGGATTACTATGCAGCTATTTAAAAAAGTAAGAAAATCTTACCATTTGCGACAGACAGCATGAGTGGATCTGGAGAATATTATACTAAGTGAATTAAACCAGTCAGAGAAAGACAAGTACCATATGATTTCACTTATATGTGGAATCTAATGGACAAAATCAACTAACAAAACAGCAACAGACTCATAGATAAAGAACAGACTCACAGCTCTCAGAGGGGAGATGGAAGGGGGGTGGGTGAGAAAGGTGAAGGGATTAAGCTAAGAAAAAAAGGACTCATGAACACAAGCAACAGTAGGTAGTTGCCAAAGAGAAGGGTAGGGGAGATAGATGGTAAAGAGGGAGTTAAATGGTAATGGAAGGAGACACCCCTTGGGGCGGTAAACACACAATACAATAAACAGATTATGCATTACAGAATTGTATACCTGAAACCAGCATAATTTTATTAACCAATTTTGTCACCTCGATAAACTAAAATTTTTAAAAAATGTTATGGGTGACTTGCTATCCTGTTCAGGACCAAAAGTTAGAATTTGTCCCTTGCCATCCTGTGGCAACCGATGGCTATAAAGTAAAGCCATGCTTCTTTCAGTCAACACCTAAAATCCCTCGTACTGCTAGAGTCTTGGATTTTAACTACTCTCCAAAAACACAGCACATCTTGATACAATCTGGAACTGGAAAAATAAAAGAATTTGTATTCCTAAAAATTCCCCCCCCCGGGAGAATGAAGCTGTTGGCCTGGGAACCACACTTTGAGCACCAATGGTCTAAAGCAAGCTAACAACCAACGAGAAAAAATCCATAATATGTCCCCTTCACCACTGTCATACTCACATTTAAGCCAGCTCTCTTCCAGTAATAGTTGCTATACTGGTTAACCATGCACTTTGTTTTTTCCTTAAACTTTTCTTCGGAGTCAAGAGACCACCAAGGATCCAGGTTTCCATTTTTATCATATTTTCTACCTAGCAAAAAAGAAAGTCAGAACATATTTGTATTATTTATGGAAACTAATTTCTTCATCTTCCCTAGCCCTCATTTCAACAGGTCTTGAAAAAGAAGTCCCAAGCAACAGAGACTACTCCTGGGAGCTGCTCCCACCTTCTCCCCAGCGTTACAGGTTCATTGTAAAAGAGGAAAAAGGAGAAAGAGGTTTGAGGAAGTTCTTTCCTTCGAAGCAACAAAGAGCATTTTAATAAGATTCATCAGCTTATGGCACGCGTCATTCTTAACCAATCTTGGATTCTCTGTTGTCACCTAATACGACCCAAAATCTTCTCTGCATTATGATGGCTTCATTCAGAAAGCCCGTGGAGGGAGTCAGAATAAACATACCAGTGAAATTCCAAATGATCCATAGGGACAGCCCTGATGAGTCATTCACACCCTGCGACCGCAGCCCCTGACTCAACCCTATAGGAACGTGTTTCTCCAAGTTGCCGGGAACTGAGAGACACTAAAACCTGTGTTATGAATCATTCCACAGCCATCTGTGTGGATGGAAGGCCCATCTGTCCTGCTATGACAGGAAGGTTGCTCTAAAAAGAGAACTTTGAACAAGAATGGAAACCTCCAAAACATAATGGGAAATGTTTTGTTTTTTTCTTCTACAGGCTCACTCTTCACTTTCTAAAACCCTTAAAAAAATGTTTGGGTGTATCTGAACTATCTTCTGTACTCACTCAAGATTACTATTGGTTTACTTTAGTTGTTGTTGTTGCTAATCCTCATCCCAGGATACTTTTTCCATTGATCCTTTCAGAGAGAGTGGGAGGGAGCAAAGAGAGAGAGAAACATCAATGTGAGAGACACATTGATTGGTTGCCTCCCACACGCACCCCAACTGGCACTGGGGCATTGAGCCTGCAACCGAGGTATGTGCCTTTGATCAGAATCAAACCCATGACCCTACGGTCTGCAGGTTCATGTTCTAACCACTGAACAACCCGGCCAGGGTTAGTTTAAAATTGATTACCGTATTTTCCGGCATATAAGACGACTTTTGAAACGAAAAAAAGTCAACCAAAAATCTGGGGCAAAAGACCAAAATTGCACAAAAATTACCTGCAGATTTTGATGGCAAAGTAAGTATTTTCTTTGAAGTGGGGGGTAGTCTTATACAGCGAATATAGGCCTAAACCTGTGTTTTAACTGTAAAATTAGGGGGTCGTCTTATACGCCGGAAAATATGCAGAGAACTCTTTGTTGGGCATAAAAGAAAGCTCCCTAAGCAAGGGTGTTAATTTCTCCGGCTGATGTGGCTCAGTGGTTGAGCATCAGCCTATGAACCAGGAGGTCACGGTTTGATTCCTGGTCAGGGCACATGCCTGGTTGCAGGCTCCATCCCCAGTAGGGGTTGTGCAGGAGGCAGCTGATCAATGATGCTCTCTCATCATCGATGTGTCTATCTCTCTCTCCCTCTTCCTTCTTCTCTGAAATCAATTAAAAATATATATTTTAAAAAATATGTTAATTGGAATAATCTGAAGCTCTTCAATAAGGCTAGATGCCACTACCACCCTCTCTGGAAGAGTATGGAGTCACCGTCCTCCAACCACTAACCAACCAATTATAAAACAGATACTGGGCATGTCCTTATATGTACAATGTACTGTCCTAAGTGCTGATTACAGAGTAAAATTGCCATCATTAGATTTTGTCCTTTGAGGGACAATCCTAAAGCCATCTAGAAGATTCTGAGGAAGAATTTTACTTAAATTTCCTAGGAAGAAAGACCCCAAACCAAGAGAACAGTACTGGCTTTTGTTTCTTAGACTATCCTCTCAGATAAACCAAGCATGCAAAGCCAGAAAGTACTGCTCTGGATATTCAGGTGACTACAAGGCAGCTAGATTTTAACAGGGAGGAAAGACCAGGGGAGCACAAAGCCTGTGTGGCTAAGTAAGGGCTAATGGGAATACAGGAAGAATTGTCCAGAAGGAGAAAAACCAAAAGGGTATCTGGCCCTGGGTAGGCACCCAGGAAAGGATGTTGGAGATATCACAGACATGAAAGAGGTCCCTCTATTAAATAGTGCCTTGAGCCAGCCGGGTTCTCTAGTCTACACGGAAATCTTTGTGTGGATGTAGATGTGATCATAATTTGCTGCTAATTCATAACTTCTGGAGATTTCATAAGGCTTCCCAATAATACTCCAAACTTAAAGGAGAAAGAAGTGTTGTTTAAAAATGGTTAACTCTCAAGGAGTGATCATTTCTTTAGTTTATGCCATATTCTGCTCTTTTCTTTTGCTTAAATGTCTTCAGGATACAGAGCATATTCTATATTATGCATTATTAGGGAAGCATAGCCTTTTTAAAATTCTGAATATATGCCAGCATAGAGAAAAACAGAGATTGAGCATTGCATAATCCTTGAAACAGTATAAAGGAACCAGTCAGCCAAGCTCCAGATTCCTAACTCACTGAGTCTTCATTTGGCAGCATGTATAATCATCCTCCAAGCAGAGCTCACACCTCCAGGGAGAGCATCTCAAGATGGTGAATAAAGAAATGACAAAGGGAAGAAGCTATAAAGAAATTCCTATAATTATTGTGGCAGCTACATCAATTGTAATCTAAATGCACAGCTAACTTCACTGAAATGACAAAGTCATTGTTTTCATCATTCTAGCCCAATCAATGGGAACAATTATTTATTTATTGCATGCTATCACTGCAAGACACGGGGAAAAGTTTTCAATCAGTAATCATACTATATTGGATAATTGTCAATCTATGATGATGCCATTATGCAAAAATAATAGCAACAATTAACATCCCATAGTCAACATTATCATAAAAGCAGCAGCTTATACAATGAACCAGTACTTACCATTATTATCAAATCCATGTGTAAATTCGTGTCCAACAATTACTCCTATAGCACCATAACTCAGAGATCTAAAACATAAATATATAATTTGGAGAAAATTACAAGCATGAATCTAAGAACATAATCCTTTTTTTCAATGAAAAGCAAAGATTATTTGTTTTTTAGTACCCATGTTAATAATCACAAAATTATCTAAAAAATCTAAATGTGCCCTTCTCATTAAAATGGTCAAAGAAAATATAAATTCTAACATTCTCATTATGACCATATATGGGCCTTATTTTTCCTATGCTATGAAATTAGGGGTGTGAAAGAAATGGTTTCTAAAGTCTCTTCCAGCCCTAAGATTTTTATTATTCTATATCAGCTCTAGCTGTAGTTTATATTTATAAACACCCAAAGCAGTAGCGGGGTTTGAAAAGATCCTGTCAGTCAACATACCATTTATTTTTTATCTGAGAACCTGTTGAAAAAAATCACTACAGACTTAGAAGTTAAATTGTTTTTCAAATGTAGTCATAAAAAAGGAATAGAGCAGAGATTAAAAGGGATCAGCTTGCTGTCAAGGTAGTCACGTTTCTCTGCTTTTGTGACAGACACGCTCACGACTGAATGACAAAGACTGTGAAATCTTAACCAGATTTGGAAAAGTCATTTTATCGTTTCTCTTCACCCCTGAAGATGCATGTGGTAGATTACCTACAAGGGCGACCACTGACAATTCCACCAGCCTGGTTGCATTGCTACCTCCTTCCATCAAGAGGCAATGACTTCCTTTCCCTTACATCTGGACAGGCCTCCGTATTTGCTATGCTCAACAGAAGGCACAGAAGGGGCTAGATGTGGCTTCTGGACCTAGGCTGTGACAGGCCTTAATGCTTGAAAGTGTCCTGCTTGGAAGTCAACTTCCATGTAAAGAAGGTAGACTAATCAGCTGGACGCAAAGAGGCCAACTGAAGCAAGCAAGAGACACCAAAAGTTGTCAGACTTCTAAAGGAAGAGACGTGGCTGGGCCCCAGCCTTTCAAGCCAGCCCAACTGGGTGGGACAGCAGACACGTGACTAAAGTCATCTTAGATCCCCTGGTCCAGGCAAGTTGCTAGCCAACAAACACCACACAGAACAGAGACAAGCGTCTCAGCTGAATCTTGCCGGAACTGTGGCTTCATGTGCCAGTGTTGGTTGTTCAGTGGTGCTTTGTTACATGGCAATATAACTGAAACAAGCATGTTAATGACATATGAAGTAATCAATAAGGGGGCTTCCGCTCATGTGTGTCTGGGATCTTCTCTCTCAGCTTTAAGTTCTATGAAGGTCAAACCCTTATCTATTGATTGCTGCTAAATTCTCTGTACCTAGCACACAGTAAGAAAGTAACAACAGGTTAACGTTACCGTTTCATGCAAGTGACAGATGGATCTGTACCTTATTTTAGGTATTTAACGTATGGATAAGGATTACAAACAACTTAAAATCCTTGTGATGAGGATACTTCCTGAGATTTGCAATGATGCTAAAAATACCAGGATTTCACAGTTGCTTCCTGACATGCAACATCAAAGTAGCCCGGCAAACAGACAGGACCAGTAAGTGGAAGGAACGAGAATTTTTGAAGCAACATGTTATTACAGGACATAATAATCCTTAACATGCTAATTGTTTGTCTCAACTATACCCAAGGAAGTGCTGCAAGATTTAATTTTTCCCCTTGGTGGCAATTCTTCCCTTTGTTATTTCTTTCCTGCAAGGTAATTTGCATTTGAAAAAATGCTTCCTACTGTTTTTCCATCATTGCAAACCTTCATTAAAGAAGTAAGAGTGAAATTATGCATTTCAATCATAGAGCTATCATAGCAGTGTGGGACAAACTTGTAATTTTACATAGTGCTAATTTTTGCAGCAGTAGCTATCACTGTGCAGCCTGTAACATCTCGTTTTTTCCAGACCTCTCAGCCCTGACAATCATATTCAATTCTCTACAAGCCTTGGTCAGTGCTGTTGGATTTAAGAGATGAACAATGGACGTTTACCGGAACTGTTCTACAATAAATATCCCTTCAGAGAGACTGCTCCAATAAGCTTCCTACTTGCAAAGGGGAACAGAGAATTCCGAAAATGATTGAATCATTGTAAGTTCTGAATCTCAGCCAAATAATTGCAATCCTCTGGACAGGAGACAAAGAAGTGATTTTATTATACATGACTAAGCCTGATAATGATAATGATATATAATACTAAATTCACATATTCCATGTTATCGTTATCAATGGACATTATTTAAATTAGCATATCATAAAAATAAACAAACAAATAAATAAAACTATACCTTTTAACAATACTGGCCAGAAAAAGAAGACTCCTGCAGAGAAAAATCTAGCCTTCCAAAAATAAAGTGGGAAAGATGAAATGTTTCCACCTACTCAGCTTCTCTTTTGTTCTTACTACCGAATGGACTTAACAAATGCATAGGGTTTTGCTGTCAACAGGGAATCAATCATACTGTCTGGAGCAACCATTATCTCAAGCAGTCATCAAGTAAGGGCTACTCTCGGCCTGAATGTAGATTCATAAAAATCTCCGAGTTAGAAGTGTCTTTAAGGTCATCTCTATTCCTTAGCTGAAGCAGGGCCGCCCTCTACAAAAACCAGTTCAAAAGGTCCTAAGACTTCTCCTTGGGCACTTTCAATAACCAGGAGCTCGCCCCTTCTGCGGTGGCCCATTCTCTCATCAGTGGTTGTAAATAAAACAGATCTCGCCCAAGCCGCTTTGGCTCAGTGGATAGAGCCTCTGCCTGAGGACTAAAGGGTCCCAGGTTCGATTCTGGTCAAGGGCATGTGCCGGGGTTTCAGGCTTCATCCCCAGATGGGGGGCATGCAGGAGACAGCTGATCAATGATTCTCTCTCATCATTGATGTTTCTATCTCTCTCTCTCCCTCTCCCTTCCTCTCTGAAATCAATAAAAAATATATTTATAAAAAATAAAAATAAAATAAAACAGGTCTCCCTGTTGTCAAAACGGAAACTCTTTCTTATGTCTCACTAGTATAGCCATTGGTCTAGTTCAATCTCTCGCTGAACACCCTCTGACACCACTCCCCCAAACATAGTAAATCATTCTGCCATCTTAACTTTCTTTCAAAAAATATGAAGTTATGAGGTTCTTCCTCAAATGCTCTCTTCTCAAGTTCTTTCAACTATTTTTCTTCAGTCATGAACCTACACCAACATTTCCCAAAACATAGAAAAAGAGGGATTTTAGGGACCTCTAGGTTAAACACATTTAAATAAGTTTCTTTCTCATCTGCCTGAGGAGTTGGGGGGAAGGGGGTGCGGGGCGGGGGGGGGGGGAGTCCCAGGTTCAATTCCAGTCAAGGTCACATACCTTGGTTGCAGGCTCCTCCCAGGCCCGGGCCCTGGTTGGGACTCATGCAGGAGACAACCATTCGATTTGTTTCTCTGTCTTTCCCTCTCTCTTCCACTCTCACTAAAAATCAACGGAAAAATATCCTCGGATGAGGATTAACAAAAAATAAAAATAAGTACATAAGTGAGTCTCCGTCTTACAGAGATTCTTAGGAGTTTTTATGCTGCTAAGTATTGTGGTTCTCCAATACAAAGGGAAGGGGAGGATGACTTACCTCTATTACTACTTCATGGAACACACGCTTTGGAATATGTTGTCTTATGCCATTTACAATCCTGAGTCTCTCCTCTGGAAACAATTCAGCCTACCAATGCCCTCATCATTTTACCCAACCCTCAGGGAGGGCTAAGCTGGCCAGTGTGGGCAGAAAGGATAAGCTCTAGCTGGTTCTGAAGGCTATCTGTCCAGAACAGATGCATGTATGGGAATCCATCTCACTGGGCTTTGATTCCCATGTGTCCAGCATCTCCATATTTCCAATGCTGATCTTAATGGAGGAGGGTTTCAGTGCAGACACAGAACTCTTTAGGAAAAAAGTGCAAATCTCTCTTCTACTGAAGTCTCAAATATGGCTCAGCATAAGGTTGAACTAACAAATACTATTATTATGTTCTAAGTTCCTATTATTTTAATTTTTATATTTAAAAAATCATCTCACAGACCCAATAAACAATTTCATCGAATCAATAACTTCAAAACTGAACCAGACTATTTCCAAGTCTCTAGGTATATAACCATAAGAACAGAAGATCAGTGAAATTGCTAGTGATGAGCAGATTCAAAGAATTTTAGAACTTTTTTTAGTTTGAAGGGAGCTTCAAGAATATTTAGCCTAAACCTCTAATTTTATATAAATATATATTTTTTCTAATCTTAACAATAGGGGAAATTGATTCCAAATATCTGAACACTAATGAAAACTATGCAGCTGAGGCCTGGGAATGTTAATGGACTTGGGGGATACAAACCACTTTCATTTTCAGCTCTGCTTCCCTACCATAGGCTTAACTATTGCCTGCTCGTATCCACTCAGCACTCACTATTTTCAAGCACAACAATCCAACTTCCAGCGGGCAGCACCAAAACTACAGGTGCTTCTCCATTAACAATAGGGTTACATCCCAATGAACCCATTGAAAGTGGAAAGTAACTTAAGTTGAAAAGGCATTTAATGCACCTAACCTACGGCACATCATAGCTTAGCTTACCTTAACTGTGCTTAGAATAATTACATTAGTCTACAGTTGGGCAAAATCATCTGGCACAATGACTACACTGCCAAGTATCAGCTTCCTGATCACTTGGCTGACTGGGAGCTGCAGCTCACTACTGCAGTCCAGCATCACGAGTATCATACCACATAACAGTCACAATTTCCACCAAGTGCGTAATGCTTTTGCACCATTGTAAAGTAGAAAAATCTTAAGTTGAACCATCATAATTCGGGGACAGTCTATAGTCGCTTGCAGACTTTTCCCGGCCACCCAAGCCCTCTTGGCCGAGGCTGGGAAATGCCAGAAGTTAATCACATGCTAGAAGCCCTCAAGCAATGATGGAAGGTGAGTTGTAGGATAAATACTCCAGTTCCCTTGCCCTTGAGACAGGATTACATTGAAGCATATTTGACAGTTGTCCACAGTGATAACTGGCTTTGTAACAGATGTGTCATAGGCAGAATAGTGGCCCCCAAAAGATATCTACATGCTAATCCCAAGAACCTGTGAATATGCTATTACATGGCAAGGGGTAATTAACACTGTTAATCAGCTGAGCTTAAAATAGGGACACTATCGTGGATCAAAGAGGACCTGGGAAGAAGATGTGACTATGTATGAATGGTCAAAGAGATGCAACTTCGCAAATTTGAGAGATGGAGGAAGAGGGCCATGAGCCAAAGAATGTGGACCACCTCTAAAAGCTGGAAAAGTCAAGGAAATAGATTCTTCCCCAGAGCTTTCAGAAAGGAATGCAGCCCTGTCCATACCTTGTCTTTAGCCCAAGATCCAGGTTAGACTTCTAACCTACAGAACTATAAGCAAATAAATTTACATTGTTTTAAGCCACCAAGTTTGTGATAGTTCATTATGGCAGCCATGGAAAACTCCTACAACACACTTTACTGGCTTCCTGCCCTCCTTGTCTCTTTTCCCCGCTCTCCTGCTGGTGTTTCCTGTGTCACCTCCCAAAAGGACTATGTGCACTTGAATCCTTGTCATAGGCTGTGCTTCTGGGAAAGCCCAAATCAAAACACTGCCACCATATTTAATCATATTTAAATTGCCATTTATATAAACCAAAATACAAGAGACTGGACTTCTAAAATCAAGACTAAATTTTCTGTGCACTAAAGCAAGCAAAAGCACATAATAAAAGTGGTAAGATTACTGACAATGAATATTATCAGAATTTCCAGTATGTATAGAAATTCTGCATTACTTCAGTCTATAATCTATTGGTATTAATGACCTTTAAACTGATATACATAACTCCAGACACTGCCAATTTTTAAACTATCGTATAGCTACCCAGATTTCTAAAGACAAATCTGATTATCTTTACTTGCTCAAAAAAATTCATTAATTCAATATTTTCTATTGGCTATTAATGCCCAGGCTCTTTACCCGGCCTTCAGAGCCCTCCATATCAAACATCAACCTTCTTTTCTTGACGACTTTTCCATTGCTTCCCTTCATATAACACTTAAACTAGTCAAACTAAACCCTTTGCTAGTCTGTCATCACATTTCTTTCCTTTTCTCACATTGTTTCTTCTATCTGGAATATGGTTTGTTTGTTAATCTTCGCTCGAGAATATCTTCTCCATTGCTTTTTAGAGAGAGAGGAAGGAGGGAGAGAAAGAAACATCACACATCGATTAGTTGCCTCCTACATGCACTCCAACCAGGGCCTAAAATGGAACCTGCGACCAATGTGTGTGCCCTTGACTTGGAATCGAACCAGCAATCCTGTAATACTCGGGCTGAAGCTCTAACCAATGAGTCACACTGGCCAGGGCTGGAATGGTTTTAGATCCATCAACTCAAATCCCAGAAATCCTTCAAGTTCCAAATTTTTGTAGTATGAGTCAATGCATAAGTGAATAAATGCATAAAAATGATAACTACCTGTATATTAGTTGGCTTTTCTGTCCAGACACATGCCCTGGTAACAAGAATCAGAAAACAAATACCTAAAATGATGAGAGTGGGTCCAGCCCATGCCAGGTTCCATGTCCTCTTTTTGTTGAACAACTACTGACTTTGTTTTTTGATTTTTTAAACTTCTATGTTCTGCCCAAGCAGCATGTTCTTCCTTATTCGTCAATAACTGGTTTCTTTTTTTTTTTTTTTAATATATTTTATTGATTTTGTACAGAGAGGAAGGGAGAGAGATAGCAAGTTAGAAACATCGATGAGAGAGAGTCATCGATCAGCTGCCTCCTGCACACTCCCTATTGGAGATGTGCCCGCAACCAAGGCACATGCCCTTGACCGGAATCGAACCTGGGACCCTTCAGTCCCCAAGCCGACGCTCTATCCACTGAGCCAAACCGGTTTCGGCAATAACTGGTTTCTTTACTCGTTTACTTACCGAGGATATTCTGTTCCCCAAAAGAAAGGCTTCTGGAGCTCTCCTGCTGGAAATCCTGGGAGAAAGAAAACAAACAAAGTGTAAGGGATACAGAGACTGACTTGATGATAAGTACCTGGTTCCAGCTTTAGCCTTAAAGTTTCCAAGGCCCATATGAAAGGTACTCCTCAGGGCGCTGGGAACCCTCTAGGAGATCCAACTGGCTTATCTCTAAGATGATATTAATTCAACTGAATTTGAAATAAATACATCAGTTTCTATTTTATCATTTTCATATGATTTATTTTTTAAATTTATCTTTATTGGTAAAAGTATTACAGATGTCCCTCTTTTTCCCTAGTGATCCCCCTCCACCTTTCACCCATCCCCTGTCCCTGGCCTTCACCACACTATGGTCTGTGTCCATGGGTTTACGTATATATGCATGAGTTCTTTGGTTAATCTCTCCCCACCCACTCACCCACCCACCCTCTGCCTTTCCTCTAAGACAGTCTGTTCCATGATCCTATGTCTCAGGGTCTATTTTGCTCATTGGTTTATTTTTTTTAATTTTTATTACTGAAAGTATTACATATGTCCCCCCTTTCTCCATTGACCTCTCCCAGCCTGCCCCTACCTTCCACCCCAGGCATTCACCCCCTATTGTCTGTGTCCGAAGATTATACATATATGTATACAAGTTCATTGGTTGTTCTCTTCCCATCTACCTACCCTCCCTTGCCTTCCCTCTGAGGTTTGAGAGTCTGTTTGATGCTTCCATGTCTCTGGATCTATTTTTGCTCATCAGTTTATTTTGTTCATTAGATTCCATATATGAGTAAGATCATGTGATACTTGTCTTTCTGACTGGTTTTTCTTAGCATAATACTCTCCAGGTCCCTCTATGCTATCTCAAAGGGTAAGAGATGCTTCTGTACAGCAAAAGAAACTATCATCAAAATGAAAAGGGAGCCCACTGTATGGGAGAACATATTTAGCAATGATACATCTGATAAGAGGTTAATTTCCAAAATATATAAAGAACTCATACAACTTAACAAAAGGAAGACAAATAATCCAATTTAAAAATGGGCAAAAGACCTAACTAGACACTCTCCAAAGAGAACATACATATGGCCAAGAGACATATGAAAAAATGTTCAATGTCACTAATCATCAGAGAGATGCAAATCAAAATGACAATGAAGTATCATCTCACACCTGTCAGAATGGCTACCCTCAACAAATCAACAAATGACAAGTGCTGATGAGGGTGCACGGAAAAAGAAACTACAATACACTGCTGGTGGGAATGCAGACTGGTACAACCACTAGGAGAAATAGTATGGAATTTCCCCATTACATCAATTTCAAAGAAACCATTTTGCATGTATATGCTATTTGCATGTCTAGCCTGCTGTGAACTAGAGCCCTCCATATTCAGAGTGTGCAGGAGACTGCCAGCTATCCAGCAGCTTCCCCTAATACATGAAGGATCACCTTTATGGACACTCAACCTGTGCAGTCATACAGGCCCTCCCATGCAGAAGGACCCTGAACTTGGTTTAATGCTCTGCTATCACTGTCTTGAAACTCTTAATTTTATCTTTGGATATGACTTTATAAGGGGCATCCAAGGGAACAAGGAGATAAGTGTGTGAGCAAAGGAGCCATGCATGGTTGCGGGCCCATGGTTCCTAGATGCCTCACTTGCATTAAGTATTTATGATACTCCCCAGGAGCACAGAACTCCTATAGACCCACAATGTGTGGGAATTCAGCAAGACGCAAAGTGAGTATAAGGTAAGCATGTTACATCCAGGACTGAGTAGGTGGGGGCTCCGACAGCTCCAAGAGGACTCTTTCCATTAGAAGCAGAATGTGCTTTGATCACCAAAAGGCAGTAATGGCGTTCTCAAAAGCAAAAATGCTTAAGGTAACCTGTCATGCTCTTTCTTGCTATATTAGCCAACCACATACACCAAAAAATGATGACATAGAAAAAAAGGGAAAGATGAGGTGGCCCACTGTTTCTTTTCCTTTCAGTCCTTTCTTACTCATCAGTAAGTGAAAGGTAGAGAGTTGATAGACTGTGCATGTATTAAAAAGTGAAATAAAAACAGCTGAGTTAGTTCTGTGCAGTGTTCTGGTAAGAACAAAATACATATGCATGTACCAGCTACAAAATACAAATTGAATAATTTAGGTGATTCCACATACAAGTTAAAAGTTCTTATATTTGCATTTAAAACTGGCATTGCACAATATAAAGTTGAACAGTAAAATTATGCCGAAGATTTAAAATTTTAATTTTCCTCACAACAGCACTAAATAGCAAGTAAAAAAAAAAAAAAAAAGACAAGTCTGGAGAACAAGAGGCCACAGAAGGCAGGATAAAGCTTTCTATTTTAGCACCTTCAATGGTACTTTTTCCTGCTTTCTGAACAGGGGGCGCCCATATTTTTATTTTGCACTGGGCCCTGCAAATTATGTAGCTGGCTCCAGGTGCAGATGAGTGGGAGAAATGCTTTGCTTTGCCATTGCAGCTCACTACTAAATTTAGCACCCCAAGTTGATCCCAGAAGCTGCACTTACAAGTCATCACAACTGGGAATACAAAGAATAGTAACAAAAAGAGAAAAAGAGATGCCGCCTTCAATGTTCTTGCTTGCTCCAGAGCCACTGTTCAAAGCCCCTTGAGACTGAAAGCTCTTTCAGAAGATAAAATGCTTTCTCTTCTCTCTGTCCCTCTTCAACATTCTTGCTCCCTCCCCTCCATGGCAGCAGACTCTGAGAAATGAGGGTAAGAAATCAAGTCCTTTTTTGAAAAAAAATGTATTTTTATTTATTTCAGAGAGGAAGGGAGAAAGAGAGAGAAACATCAATGATGAGAGGGAATCATTGATCGGCTGCCTCTTGCACACCATCCATTGGGGATGGAGCCCGCAACCCGGGCATGCGCCCTGACAAGGAATTGAACCGTAACCTCCTGGTTCATAGGTCAGTACTCAACCACTGATGCAAGCTGGCTGGGCTCAAGTTCATTTAGAAATGAAATGTAAATTCTATGTAACGTATCTTCTTAATAATATCATAGTTTGAGATTTCAAGGTGCAAAACCCTAATTGCAAAACAGAGATGGTTCCAGCTAGCAGTTCTCTCTCTTCCTGTTGCTTTCTGACTTTGAAGGGGTAACATCACATTAATCTTCATAACCTCTACATTTCCTTTCATATCTTTTACATCTTTATGTCAGTAGTCCATTCTCTCTGCTGGTGAATACTTTTAGAAACTCATTCTGATTTCGATATGTATAAACCAGTGTTTATAAGCAAATTCCATCTCACACAACATATGACCAAAGCAATGCTATTTCCTAATAAGAACACTGACCATAAGCGAATGTGATTTCATTATTAAATCATTCTGGTTTTCCTGCTTGGAGATGTGCCCAGCTGGAAGCATTTCTGTCCACTGCCAATCTCTTTGCAGGAAAACATCTAACACTGCGTGAGCCTCCATTTTGCCACTTTAGCTGTTAGATAGAGGCCCCAGACTCACAGGCGGTGGCCATCGCACTCCCCTGATCAGCTGTATCTTCCCAGCTTGTGGGGGGGCACAGAACCCAATACCGATCAACAGAAGAATCTGATGCCCTCAGAGCTGTTTTGCTGAAGTGAATGGATTAACAGTTTAAGCTGCATTTTTGGAGACGTCGACTGGCAAATGTGACAGATTGAATCCCAACAGGGCCAACTCAATATCTCACCTCATAAGTAGGTAAATTGTATTTAGCAAAGGTAGAAGTAAAAAATCTATAATAATAAAAGCATAATATGCAAATCAACCAAATGGCCTAACAGCAGAATGACCATCAGGATGACCTTCCAGACGACCTTCCAGACAAAGCTGGGGCTGTGAAGGCCTACTCTTGCATGAATTTCATGCATCAGGCCTCTGGTAATTAAATAAAAGGAAAGGGGATTCTTCCTCTCGCCCCTTTGAATGGGCTTTTCTTATGTTTTCTTGCATCTCCATTGCATTTACTTTCTTCCCCATTTCAGCACTGCCTCACCACCTGTTTCACACTTTGAAATCTGCTCCTTTTTCTATCAGTGTATTTGTGGGAAGCATTCCTCACAATGTAAATGTATACACACATATATGTATATGAATATGAAAGAGGGAGGGAGATGAAAGAGAAATTTAACTATTGGGTTGGCACAAATTAATAAATTTAACAATAGGTAATACTGGCCAGGGTGTAGGAAGTGTGCTGGTGGGAGTGTAAATTGTTACAAACATTTGCTTTAAATACCATTTAAAAATTAGTAACTATAGAGCAAGGGATGGGAATATCCAGCCCTCTGGCCATATAAAGTCCTGAGAAATCATTTGGTCTGGCCCTGCAAAGGCATCAGGGGTGAATTAATGAAATGTCTGAACAAATATAGCAGGCTAATTTTTAAGTTGATCATTTTTGTATGGCCTGTGAAAGATGTTATAAATATCAAAATGGCCTTGGCAGAAAGAAGGTTCCCCACCCCTGCTATAGAAAAAGCATGAAGAGATGTTATTAAGTAAAGAAGATAAGTGAAAAAATAGCACTCAGTCATATATGGGATTCTTTTATGTGTAGCACATATAAATGCACATAGTCAGTTCTGTTATAACACTTTACCGAAAAGGCAAATTTATTCCAACATGCTGATATATTAGAGGGAAAACTGGGGCATACCTCCAATTTCCCATCTGCTTATGTCCCATTTCCTTTATGAGAAATTCTAGATGAAGGTATAAAACTGCACCCAAATGAACCACATAGGAATACACAGAATGCACACATCCCAACATGAACCAGCTACCTCCATTCACTGTGTGTGTGTGTGTGTGTGTGTGTGTGTGTGTGTGTGTTTTATAAGCCACACCTCATATTAAAACTGCCCTTCCAGTTACAGAGAACCCGCCTTCTACCATTACACAATAACTCACAAGTTGCAAGCCCTCCAGGGCCCACTTCCACAAGCAAACTTCAAGCCTTTTCTAGGGAAAGTGCCATACTTACTGCAGCATTTA